CGTTTGCACTAAGGAAGAGAGACTGTTCTCCTGTTTACCTTGGGTCGGACACACTCCCACACTCAGATTGCGTTAAGTATCTTGGTTTCCACTTGCATAGGAGACTCACCTGGAAGCACCACTTAAAGAAAAAGAGAGATGAAGTTAATATAAAATATAGAAACCTTCATTGGACTATGAACCGCAGCTCTGCCCTATCAATTGATAACAAGCTTCTAATATACAATACCTTTATTAAACTAGTATACAGTTGTGGAGCACTGCTTGCAAAAGTTACATTACTTGCCTGCAACGAGTTCAAAATAATATCCTCAGAACAATAGTAAATGCACCATAGTTCACAAAAAATTACGAAATTCATGAATACTTGAACATGCCCACTGTCGCAGAAGAGAGACAAGTGCAAATTAAGGTTCACTGAGCTGGTTCTCAAACCAACAATGCGCTCAATAAATTTGCTCATAGTCCAAAGACTGATTGCAAATAATAATAATAAAAAAGCATGATTAACGCGATATGATATATAGGATGGCCGGAACATTCGACGTCCGAAAAATGACGTTCATTGAGCGAAAGTGTGCGAAATTAAACAAATTTCAGCTTCTGCACACCCGGCATAAACTGGCCAAATTCGACATTCAGCAGGACCTATTTACACCAAATGGTGTATCAATAAAGGAGACAATTGAAATTTGTATGGAGGAGTAGTGGGTCACTGGCATACTCAATTTTTTTATGACATGTAGTGCACTTAATTGTACCTATACAGTTTGAAAAAAAACTATATTTTATTTCATCCCCATTTTGACATGATAACGCCTAATAAATCAATGAAGACCATCTGCACCCACGAAAGAGTGCGAAGTCATGTCACGTTAGTTCAATGTCCTGCGTAGGGATGTCGAAAGTTGAAAAAAATATCGATATATCGATCTTTTAACAAATATCAATATCGGCTTCGATATATCGCGAAAAAAACATCGATATATCGGACCAATTTTCCCAAAAATATCGTACAGTAGCTCACGAAATATGACACGCGGAGTAATAATGGAACGAAAATTATCTCCCTAAAAATAGACCCTATTTTCGAATGATGACTTAGGGTACGGCCAGAGTGCACTCAGATTCAGACTCGGAAAACAAGCGCGAGAAATATAGGGTTGGGTACGGCCAGAGTGCACTAGAGATTCAGATTCCGAAAACAAGCGCGAGAAATAAACAGTGTAGTCGAAGGGTACGGCCAGAGTGCACTCCTGCTTAGACTACACTGTTTATTTCTCGCGCTTGTTTTCTTAATCTGAATCTGAATCTGAGTGCACTCTGGCCGTACCCATAGACAATACTAAATACAGCACCATAGATATGTTGAATATCATTAATCTGAGATCCAGTTACGATTTTTCCAGATACGAATTTATAGTTAGATCGTGATATGCCGCTAATAATTAAAAAAATATCGTTTTTGATACGAATTTCGATATTGGTTATTTTGTATCGATGTATCGATATATCGAATCAAAATATATCGGCAAAAAATATCGATATATTTTCAACAAGCCTAGTCCTGCGTTGGTATGAGGTGAGCTTAAAGGGTTCCTATGATAATACTAGAATTGAACACGACATTTCAGGTCATGATTTTTTAAACTCATGTATCTGAAAAGCTCTGGGGGAGGCCTTTGCCAAAGGGCAATCGGATTAAAGATTAAATTAATTGTAATATAATGGGATATTTTTAAATGAACAGCAAATAACTTATTATCAAGTTATTTACAGCTATTAAATTATTTATTACATCAAAATAATTACTTTTAATTAGCTGCAAACAAAACATTTGTTGAACAAAACTAGTGCTGAAAATATTTCTAAAATATACATCTAATCTGCAGTAACAAAACACTTATGATTTTCATATCAAATATACTGATTGCCCAGCAAATATACCGATTGCACAGAAAATTAACCAGGGCTTCTACGCAAAATACTCACACTCGTAACAAAACTATTTTTGCAGCAGGTTTCCTATGAAGCCCTCTCGCTGCGGAGCATGGTGGAGGCCATGCTCCGCAGCGACAGGGCGTGGGAGGCGGTCGCCTCCTTCTGCGAGAACGTTATCTCGCAGAAGGAGGCGGCTGAGAGGGAGCGGGAGGATGAACCTCTGGCCGCTCCCTCCCGCCAAAGGAGGACGGGTAGGAGAGGACGGCGACGCGCCCTGGCTGCGCCCGTCCCATGACCCTACGCGGGGGTCCCTCGCTGACCGGCATGGCGCTGGCCGTGCCGGCCACCGACGGACCCCGTGACGGCAGCCCCCCCTTATAGTTCTGTCCTACAAAGAGGGGGGCGGCGGAGGGAGCTACACGGGCACGCCCAAGTAGCCCTCCGCAGCGGACGGGGGGCGGTACGATGGGCACTAGGCCGCGTACTCAGCCCCCACGCGCGGGCCTACCCGCGCACGTCTGCGGGGTTCCCGTGATACCCCGGGAGACCCCTGCCGTGGAGCCCCGGCTAGACCGGGAGGCTGCTAGGTGCGGAGATGCGGAAGAATTCCTAAACGGGGATCCCGCAGCTCCGTGCTAAGCAGCTTAGAGGGTATTCGCAGGACTTTTTTAGCGGATATTATACCGTAAAGCGTCCTATGAAGCATTTCTAAACTTGCTCAACATTGGGACACTTTTGGTGGTTATAAGAAAAAAGCGAGTGTGCTTATGACACAATTAAAGTGAAACTTCTTTAGCTCTTGAAGATTTGTTGATAGAAAATAAACCATCAATCTGCGCTGGGTCCGTTATCACCTCCCGATACGCACTGGGTTCATTATCACCCACCAATCCGCTCTGGATCCGTTATCACCCACCAATCCGCACTGGGTCCTTTAACATCCACCAATCTGCGCTGGGTCCGTTATCACTCTCCAATCTGCATTGGAACCATTATCATCCACCAATCCGCGCTGGGTCCGTTATCACCCACCAATCTGCACTGGGTCCGTTATCGGCTCAGTTTTCCATTACATGTAATTGATTTGCAAGCTGAAATTTTTGTCACGCAAAGTATTAACTATTAAAAACACGTACACGAAAACTTTTTAGGCGGAAACGAATAGAACTCGAGAAAAAAATTATTGAAAATTAATATTTTTGTAGGTTATGAGTTAATTTTGACAGCAATTATGATCAGTGCTGCCATTTTTTATGCAAAAATAACATGTTTCTCGTTGTCTATGGTAAATATAAGTTTATTATGTTGGTACTATTGTCAAAATGTGACAATTTACCGCCATTAATGAGATCTGTCAGTCAGTGTTTGTGGTCGTCGCAGTTGAGAGCTTTTTCGTACTCCTGTTGATATTAACATCGTCTGACTACCATGGCATCCTCAAAGCCTTCGGCCTCGAGTTCTGCTGTGCCTTCGCCTGAAGAGTCGAGTGTAGTGCGAGGTTTAGACTCTAATGAGCCGCTTGTGTGGTGATACTTCACACTAGGTTAGGTTAGGTTAGTGTTGTGACCTCGTGAGAAAGAAAAACTCGTTAATAGAGACTTTTTCTACAAAAAAATCAAATATCACCTCTAGGCCCTGGAAGTACAGTTTTACCTTTAAAACCCCTCTAATTTTTTATAATTATCATTTCTGTAAAAAAAACGGCGGGAAGGGGGGGGGGGGGGGGGTTACCCTTCCCTCTGAGGGGTCTTCACTAATACCTATCCCCCTGAAATTCTATACAACATTTAACAGATTTAATGAATTTTTAGGTTAGGTAAAAAAAAAACTGCATTTCCGCCAAAAATCTTTAATGGCGGGGGGGTCGGGGGGAGCCCTCCCTCCCCTCCCCCTACAAATTACCCCGAAATTCAATTACATATAATGGAATTAAGTACCCCGTTATCTTCCACCAATCCGCACTGGGTCCATTGTCACCCACCAATCTGCAATGGGTCTGTTATCATTCACCAATCTGCACTGGGTCCGTTTTCACCCACCAAGCATTCATGTATTTTGTGATGGGTATTGTTCATTGTTTACCAATGAGTCACCAATGACACCAATCACAACGCAAAATTGTAACACATTCGCTAGTTTACCCCCTAAGGCAAGGGTGCCTAAAGAAGTTTTACTTTAATAATTAGATTGTTATGGCAATTAAAATGGTGTTTCACTTAGGTTAACTGCTGCATGTGATAAAATGATGGCAGCTTTGTTAAAAAAAAAGATGTAATAGATTTGTTGTGAGGTGGTTATTATCAGCTATGCATTCATAAAAAAGCTTTAGTTTTAAATAAATAGTAATGCATCACAAACTTAAATTGTTACTAATATAATATTTTAGGTGACTATTTTGCTCTGCAATAAGTATTTTTGCTTAGGATTAGGCACTGCCGGATTTAGGGGAGGGCAACCGGGGCGAAAGCCCCGGGCCTCCACAAACGGGGGGCCCCCACAATAGAGACTTCCGAAAAAAAATCTTTCAAATTCCAACTAGTAAACATCTTTTCCTTTGATATTTTTTTTTGCTCTTTTACCTTTACCCAGGGCCGAATTTATGACAGGGCAGGTGGGGCTGTGGCCCAGGGGTCTCCACAACAGCTTAAGAAATAACAACATTTCGATGGGTCAATAAGCATACATATCCTAAGTGGCCCGGGGCCTCCACAATCCTAAATCTGGCCCTGGGATTGGGAATTAATTTTTATACAAAATGTCAATTTTTGATGTGCAGTTAAATACTAGCCTAATATAATAAGTCTGTCTGAATAAAGGCTTATTTTATTTATCTCAGAATCATCTCAGACAGGATTTTGTTTTTTGTCAAATATTCAAATCAACTTTGAGTATGTTTTTAATTGACTTAAAAGTTTTTTGTGCAAGTCACTATATTTATATAAATTCCTTGATTCATACCAGTAATTACTTGATTAATATGAAGTATTAACTAAAAGTTAATTAGAATTATTAAGATAGTTGTTCAATAGTAAGTACCTACCAATACGAATTTAACTTACCTGTGAAAAGATATACCACAACCAGCATACGATTCACTTCTACAATATGATACACAACAGTGTTTCACCATTTTAAAAATTGTTTTGATTTCAAACTTTTATGTTTGTAATATCCGAGTGAATTGTGTAAAGTAAATAACCTTACTTTCTCTATGCACGTAACATCACCTTTTGCGTCTCCTCGTCCGAGTACGACCCAATCTGTGGACCTAATTATTTGTGTTGAAAATTTGATAAAACAGTAAACACAAACAAAAGGGACATGTAAAAATTCCAAATACAAGCTTCCAAGCTTGATCCGGTGCAATTCAGCATTACCACTTTTCTGTGTGAATGTGAAACGTTCCTTTTGGTATATTTACCTTTCTCTATGGTGAAACGGAAACAGCCACAGATAAAAAAAATACCATTACCACCAAGAGGGTGAAGCCAGAGTGCACTCAGATTCAGATTCTGAAAACAAGCGCGAGAAATAAACAGTGTAATCCAAGCTGGTTGCCTGCTTTTTCTCGCGTTTTGTTTTCTGAGTCTGAATCTGAATCAGGAGTGCACTCTGGCCGCATCCGAAGGGTATTATATATTCCCTTCTCTACAGTATATTGTTTAGTCCCTTTACTCCATCTTATCTCAAGGACCGTTTTAATTCCCTGCGTGATACACATGCTTGTGTTTTGAGATCGTCAGAGAATTTAACACTCGAGATTTAAATGCACTCCATGAAATTTATGGAGAAGTCATTTGTAGTTATGTTTTTATTTTTTTAAGCATTTAACTGCTATGCTATGTTTAAATTTAAAGAAAACTTTTACTAGAAAAAAATCCTCGCGGACCAGGCAGCGGACGGAACTCGAACCCGCACCCTTCGCAATCAGGGCGAGTGTACTGACCAATTATGCTACCACGGCCCTGATGCATAAATGTCTAAATTTATTATACGTGTATAAAATATCATTCAGAGAAAAAAAAGAAAACAACTCAATTATTAGTATATATGGCTGATGCTGATAAAGTTTGTTTTATCAAAGGCGCCTTCGATGTCAATGAAGACCCCGAGCGTTGATTGTTTTGGTGATAATCCACGTTCTATTTGTCTGACTACGTTGTGTAATGCGGATTCGGTGGACTTGCCCATGCTGTAGGCGTGTTGGTTTGCATGAAGTGGTACACGCTTTAGAGCAACATCTCTCAAATTCCTGTCACACATTCTCTCCAGCACCTTTAGGAGGAATGATGTGAGACTTATCGGTCTGAATGCTTTAGGTTGCGTGTAGTCACTTTTGCCTGGTTTGGGTATGAATATAACTTTAACCTCTCTCCACTTGGTGGGTATGTATCGATAGGCAAGACATCCTGTGTAGATTCGCAGTAGATGCTCGAGTATCGATTCCTCGCACCATTGCAGTAGGCCCGGAAAGATGCCATCCAGACCAGCTGCTTTAAAAGGGAGGAAGCTTTTGATGGCCCAAGTTAATGTGTTGATTTTAATGATTTTGCGTGCAGTTGTCCAGTCAGCTAAATCCGGAACCGCGGATATCTCATCTTCCCAGTCTTGGTCGTCTCTAGTATTACAGCCTGGGAAGTGAGTATGCATCAGCAGCTCACAGGTTTCAGCGTCGGTTTTTGTGAAAGTATTATCAGCCTTTTTGAGGTAACCCAAATTGCGCTCGGGATCGCTACTTAGTATTTTCCTCACTCTTGCGGCATGATTGTTGTCTTGGATATCGCTACAGAAACGCTTCCAGCATTCAGCCTTTCTGAAGCGGATGCATTTTTTGTAGCGTGACTGTGCCTCCTTGTAGAGGATCCGGTCGTGTTCGAGTCTGGTGTTTTTTGCTCTGTTGAACATCTTTCTTGCCCTACGTCGCAACTTATCCAGTTCAGGACCCCACCAGTTGTGTTTGCCTTTGGCTGTTGTGCGTTGCTGTACTAGTGGGCATGATTGTTCATAACAGACGGTTAAAGTTGATGTTAGGTTATTCACATGTGTGTCTATTTCCATTGGATTTTTGTAATCCGCTGGCAAGTGGAGACACTTCAGACTGGCCGTGATTAGTGAAAAGAATTTCTTGCGGTCAGTCTTACGTGGAATGCGTCGGGGCTCTGGTGGTTTATTGTTTATATGAAGATAGAACCTAATCCATCTGTGAGCCGAGCAAGATGCTTCGTCGGAGACGTGCCAGTCAGTGATGAATTCAGCAATCCTCTCACTGGTTAGGGTAAGGTTGATTATTGTCTGAGCCGCTGATGTAACAAAGGTAGGTTCAGAGCCTCTGTTGATAATTTTTAAGTTTGTTGAGAAAAGGTAGCTAGAAAACTCCTCACCTCTGGTATTGGTGTCGTGGCTGCCCCAAAGTGTGTGATCTGCGTTGGAGTCAGCGGCGATGATAAGCTCCAGTCCCTCTTACTCACAGTGTGTCACCAGCCTTTCGAACTCCGGTAAGGGGATTTCGGCGTCGCCCGGACAGTAGGCAGACGCTATAATCACCTCGGGGAGGCTAGGTGTATCACTGAGGAGCCTGATAGCAGTCAGGTCCCTGGAACAGAACTCGGTAATTAAAACGGTTTTCACATGTTTTGGAGCAAAGATGCATGTACGTGGTTTACTTACGGTAGTGTCTAGGAGTAGTTTGCCTCCAATGTTGGATAGACCACAGATCCTCTCACCCCTGATCCCCGGCTCTTGGATGAGGGCTATGGTTTTGGTGTTTGTCTTCAACACTCGCCGAAGGTTTGCCGTGGCTGTCTGGCTGTGTTGGAGATTGGACTGTATGATGTTAAAGAGAGGGGCTGGGTTGTTGATCGTCATCTTGACTGATCGAACTACCCGCTCTCGCTTCCTCTTCCGTCGCCTTTTCACCCTCTAGCCACCAGTCCATACGTTCAGCACCCTCCTCTTCCATGCTGGATTGACGGGCCGGTGATGGGTTGAAGGCCGATGTTGTCGGTGTCAAGGCCGGTGTTTTGTTGGCCATACTCACGCCTTGTCCTACGTTGGCCTCCCTCGGTAGGTTCGGTATGGTGGCCAGTGGTATCTTCTCCGTGGACGGTCGATCGGCTGCCCCCGACGAGAAGCGGACGTAGATAGACCCGAGCTTATAAGCAACGCGTCTATCCCTCGCGAGAAGTTTCGCCACATCATCCTGGGGTATACCCACCAGGATGAACAGCTCCTCCTTCTCCTCCGTCTTCACCGCGTGGTACAGCGCCCATTGATTAATATTGTACCACGGATTCTGGGCGGCCAGCCTCATCCTCAATTGGTCGAGGTTTTCGCCCTTGTACCGTGGCACAATAATGGAGGCCTTCACCCTCTTCGGAATCTCCGATTGACGTTTTACCGTCAATACGGTTCCCGAGATGGGAGACCTGATGTTATTAATTGTTTGGCGCAACCATTCTAGCGAATAGTCGTCCTCGCACCAAAGTTTGAGGACGCCCTCCGACCAGAAGGCTTTGCCACGGAATGCCGGTGAGCGGGATGACATCGTGGATGGTCCATAGATTTGTTCATCCAGAGCCCCCTCGATGTCTTCCTCGATTTTAGAGGCCTGTACCTCAGTCAGGTCCTGAAATGGTTCTGCCATTACTGCGACGCAGAGGTCATTGACCTTCAATGCGTCCGCGTAATTTACAGCTGAACCCTTCGGACCTGTCTATCCCCTCTGGGCGATATAGTGTCATCGGGACGTCCTCTCTTCGAGGGTATCGAATGGGACTTCTTTGGCCGGTTGTTCCGCGCTTGTCCCGATCGTTTGCCGCGCGGTCGCAACAAATCGTCGCCGTGCTGCTCGTCGTCCGGATTCTTAGGTGCCTTTTCGGCAGGTTTCTCACCAGTTGGCCGACTGGCGCCAGCCGTACCGGTGGGCTCCTTGCTTACACGGGCGGCGTGAGTCGCAGCGGACTCTTCAGCAGCCTCTGGCTGCTTACTCCCCCCAGTCTCCAGCGCGCGCATCTGCCTCGCAATAAAGCGCGCTTTCGCGTGGCGTCTGTTGCGGAGTACGTTGGCCGGTGTTGCATCGGTCAACGACTTCTTCGGCGGTGGCAACGGTTTCTTGGGTGGTTTCACGGACGGTTTGTCAGTGACCTTTCTACTCCGGACCTCCACGCTCCAGGACGCAGTCCCCTTCGGGGTAGTATCCGGCATTGCGGCACCGATAGCTGATAGGTCCATGACCTCCCGTGTCGTGACGGTGTTGGTACGTGGCGCATCCGAAGACGCGGCCGTGTGCGTGTGGGTAGCCTGCGCTTCCAAAGCAGCGGGCTTCGGCGCATCCGAAGACGCAGCCGTGTGTGGTTGCTTAGCCTGCGCATCCGAGGACGCAGCGGGCTTGTTGGTGTTGTTTAAGGAGTTTTTTTGTTTTGAATGTTCCATGAGTGTTAGTGTTAAGTTTCATTCCCAGCGGCTTTCCACCCTCCTCGGAGCCCGCAAAGTGGGGACGCTGCACACCATTGTGTGTACATGCGCCAGAAATACCCCGGGAATATAGGACTCCAGCCCCGTGGGTTTACGTCCGGTAACCAGTTTTGGGTTGCCACGCTTTCGCATGGGTCCGCAACCGGGCCAAACGCTCCCGCCAGTTCAGAGTCCTCGCCTGACTTGGATGTTAGTAAGTCGAGCCGATTGACCCCAGTTGGCTACTCTGAGGCCTCCCGTTAAGCTGAAATCAGGGCCAAAGAGGCGTGTTGCTGTGGTGGTCACCAACAGCTCAACCTCCAGGATCCCTTCATCCCTCCGCACGGGGCTCCACGCACGGCAAACACGCGGGTGGTCAAATTCAACCTGCCATCCTGGTTTTTTGGATGACTGGCCCATGTCGGCGTGACCACGTCGTCGATTATGGCGGATTACGATAAGGATGCATAGGAATGGGATGGGTGAGGATTTCTATGGGAGATGCGTCAGGTAGTTTCGGTTGCACTCTTCAACAAAAGGCTGAACAATGCGTAACAGGTGGCAACCGCGGGAAGGATATATACCTGGTTTGCCTTAGGGATCTACACGACTGTAGCGCTCTCCCGTAAGGCCATTCGCTCAAATCACACATCGGACAGGTGTGTGAAAAAGGGGCGTGCTTAGACC